AAGTATAAACATCAAGAACAAATGGCTGTTATAAGTAGTGTTTTAACGAAGTACTAAGGCTCCCAAGTATTTTCAAAATATAATAAACATGTTATTTATTATATTTTTTAATCCCAGTACCTTTTAAAAGCATTTTTTAAAAACGCTGGTTTTTTTGCTGGTTTGGATTACCAGCATGCGGTTTTTTGGAGGAAAAACCAGCAAAAACCAGCATGCTGGTACCAGCAATGAGCAACCCTACTCATCAATTCGATATGGCGTTATACCAAATATCTTCATAAATGAATGGGAAACTCTCGTCAAATGAAAAATATTTCTTTTATTTCGATACATTTTCAACTGAACTGTTTAACAGTTGAATTGTGCATTGAGCATTGTAAAATAATTTCCATAAAATAATGTTGATGATATTTCAGAAGATGGATGTTATTTAATTTATTTTGGTAATTTGTTTTGAATTATTTTGATCTTCTATGTACCTACATAAGAAAACGTATTGTTAAAGAAGAGCTTAGCTCTTATGTGTACATTATATTTACAATTGAATAAACTTAAACTTAAACTTAAACTTAAACTTAAACTTAATTCACTTTGATTTTATGATGTCAGTTTTCATAAGTATTGTTAAGTTTTATTGATTTCAGTAGATACTTATTAAGTATCTGTGTTATTTGAATAAGTAACAGTTTTACATGATGAAAGTAATTACACTAAGAAAGCATAAATTTAATTATTCATTTTTAATAAACCGATGGAAAACTCAGTCCAAGTATTTAAATATTTCATTTGTACGACTTCTCTTTGATTTAATGGTCAACAATATGCGTGACATTGTCAATCATTCAAGTAGTATGTATAAAAAATAAGACAATCAAAGATTTCTAATTGATTATGAACATTTCAAAAATATTAAATTCTATATGAGAATATTAAGGAATGTTTATTAAAGAGTTTTCAAAATTAATTTATAAATTTAATTCATGAACTTTTGCGTTTGATCACAGTTTTAATTCGTTAAGGTAATTCTCTATTCATTGTCTTTACTTTTTAAGCACTTATTTCATTTAATTTTTTAATTAATTATTTTTTCAATTGTGTTGAGAATGAAGATGAAAAGTTCTCATTATTCGTCGCTGTTTGTTCAACTTTACTCAAGAGGATCAATTTCAATTGCTTCTATTTCATCTTTTAAGAAATTAGATTTCGTTTCCAAACCTTCAGAAGTTTCTGAATTAGTTTGTTGTTCCAATTTCGATGTTTTTATAGATAAATCGTTTAACGAATTTATGTTAAATTTAACTTTTTTCGGAGATTTATGTAATGGAAGACTTTCAACAGGATTTTGCATCAATAAAAGATTCTTAATTGGACAATCGTTGGAATTTAAATTATGGTTTGAAGGAGCATTGAATGACTGGGGATCAGGACTCAATGTACCTCCATCGTCACTGGCAACACTTCCATTACTTTTCTTAATTCCATGTTTGACATTCTTATGATGTGTCAATGAACTCGGCTTCAATTCCAGATGGCATAGTTCGCAGTTAACAGTTGCACGGTTAGGATTATCGTTACATTCATTTTCATGTTTCATGATCCGGCCCTGTGTAGACAAGACGCGTCCACAAAACTTACAGCTCAACTTAATCTTCTTATTGATTGTAATGCTTCTTTTCTTCTCCGCACTTGGCTTTGTTGGAAGCTTTACAATTTGCATTGGATCGATTAATTCAATTGTCATGGAATTAGAAACTGGAGTTATGTTCGGAGTTGTATTTTGAGCATCGCTTAATGGAATTAACTTTGTTTGCTCTGGCAAAACTGAAGACACGTCTAAGTCAGGATTGTTTTCAAGCAACATTTTCATTATTTCTGATACATCATTGAGTCCTGCATCGTCCTCTTCTTTTGCTCTGTTTGGAACTGATTGTTGTTGTTGTTGATCTATGAAATTGTCTTCAGTGCTTGAAATCGTTGGATCAAATGAACGATTAGAATCAGTTGGTTGTACCGCATGTACCTGATTGGTTATAAAATGAATTCTGCCTTCTTTAATGCCACGAATCTGAAGCATTTCGCCTGCCTTTAAAAAATCATCAAGTCGATCATTAGGAACTTGTGCTTGGCCAAGATAAGCAAAATCCAGAAGGAGACAAAGATCGATAAACTTCACTCCAAGAACAATAATTGTTGGTCTTTCCTTCAAACTTGCACTGAATACTTTCTGTTGAATGCAATCTTTTATTTTACGGAAAATTTCTTAAACAAATTTCGACTTACTTCGAAATATTCTGACGAGATTGACAAAATTATTTTATGACAGCGAATAAATTTACCTTCAGCAGAAAGAACACAATCGCCGTACGAACCTTGTATCAAATGGTTATAGATACGAGGAACGATAGAATTTGTGTAACTTTCGCATTTTACATTGCACGTTTGATGAGCTGTAGCCATTTTTGAGTCTTTTGAAATGTTAACATTAAGAAATTACCGATAAACTTTTAGTGTTGCCTGATGTGGTCTTAACAGTTGTTGGATTTAAAAAAACTGTTAAGGTTAGATTAGATCAGGATTAAGATTTTGAGGATTAGGAATTGAATAATCTTTATCTACCTATTTTTAAACAAATGAAGAGACTCTTTACAGAATGATTAAATAAGTCAAAAACTCAAAAATTATGTTTACTGCTCATCAACTATAAGAGATTTCATTGAAAAACCTTCTATTAAAGTTAAATTATTTTATGATCGCAACGTTTTAAAACTTTTCTTCATCGATGGATAAGAACACGACACAATAAGTTTAATTCGTAAATTGTCTAAGGAAACATGACGTAACGTTATCTGAACAATGTTATCATAGATATAACATAATTGATTATTCATATATTTATGCATGTCTTCCTTCATCTAGCCAGGTCAGAGTACATAAAAATATTTAAAACAGGTAAAGAAATCTAAAAATAATTCTTGAATATTCTTAAACGTTGTCATTAGTGCGTTGGCTTTCAAAACAGAAAGACGAACAGTTGATAAGTGCAGCAAATATTTGTGAAAAGAATATTTCAGAATTCTTGTCAAGAATGCATCGCGTTCTATTTATAATTTTATTCTCATATGGTCTTTATGGTAAGTGTGAGCGTGAAACTGAATATTCTTTATATAGAATTTCCATTTCGCAGATGCTTTTGGTGTTCCAATATTCAAGGAAGAAAGTCTCAGCTCTATCACCATTTCTGAGATAGATTTGCCAACTGAAGCAACACTAGACTCAGAAAAAGCAGATTTATTCGAGACTGAGAAACCAGAATCTTTTATTGAACTATACGAAAAATATGATTCTTTATTCAACAAAAATTCTACCGAACATCAAACACAAGGATTTGAAACTTCACCTCAAAAAAGAAGTTCATTAAGTTTAGAGTTGAGTGACAAAAAATTTTTCGCTGACGAGAAAACTGAAGAAATCATGGAGAAAATCAAAACAATTGTAGATCCGGCTGTGCGAAAGGAATTTGAGATTGATATTTTAAATAAAGGTCAAGATCTTGAAAAGGATAAAAAGAAAGTTGAAAGTGTTGATTATGGCACAGTTTATGAACCAGATTATGCGAACAAAATGGTTGTTGCTGTTGATAATAAACTAAGTGAAGAAGATGAAGCAATGAAAAATTCTGTAAAAGAACTCGATGTCGATAATGACGCGAGAAAAATGACGACTCATGAAAAAGAAGTTTTACAAGTTCATTTAGTCGAACAATTAGTTCATTCGGATACTTCTGATTCTGAATTTACTACAATCATTCCAGAAGATCGCTTTGAACATCACGAAAAAATTGAAAATCCGGAAATTGTTGAAGTCCTTGAACATATCGTTTATCAAACAAATGATCAGAAAGACATTCAAGAAGAAACTACATCGAGTACTCTTAATGTTCATGTAGATTTCGATCCTATTGAAATCATTCCAAAGGATCGTCATCATTTAAGAAAGGTTGAAGATGAAATGATAACTGAGAAAAATGACAAATTTGTTGGGTTTAAAACAACGGAAGATTTAGTCGATCCTGGTCAAGAAACAACTGAACCCGACGAATTCTTCAAACCTGAAAAATCAGAGGAAGAAATTGCAGAAAAAACAATTGTTGAGACCTTGGAACTTGTTGCAATATTCGGTAAAAGCATAAACTTCGATAATTCCAGCAAAACAGAACAAGAAGAAAAGGAGGAAGAAGAAACTACTGATAAAGTTACAACGGAAATGAATGAAATATTTTCTGAAGACGAAACAACTGAAAGATATTCTGTCGCTACGGAGATAGTTGAAGTGAATACCGAACTTTCTTTCAGTTCTCATATTGAAAGTGCAACAAAGAAGCCCGAATATATTTTCTCAGAAAAGCCACGAGTAAGTTTTACCCCAACAACCGTTATAAGTACAACTGAAAGTTCAGTAAGTGATAAATCAAGCAAAAGTTCTTCGTCATCATCGAATAAATCTTCTGAAGAAAGTGAAAGTAAAGAAAGCAAAGAAAAGACCGACGAAAAAAGTTCTGAAAGTTCTGAAGAAAATTCAGCTAGAGAAGTTTTCGATGACGATACATTGAAAATCTTTGACTTGGAACCGCTTGACACTCAAAGAAGTTTAATTGATGAAATGTTGAAGGATACATTGTCACATGAAATTAAAAAGAAAGATCATGTCGAAGGTTATCCTCCTGAGAATGAAATAAAAATTCAAAAAAGCTCAGAAAATTCATCAGTGACTCAGAATCTTTCGCCGTCTAATGATGACAATTTTCGAAGCCTTGATTCAGAAGATTCTAGTGTTGAAACAAAGACTGAAGCAGTAACAAGATTGGAACATCAGTCACTGCCAAGAGAAGAAATCGAAAGGAAATTTAAAGACGAAAATTCTGAACAACGATCTGAAGTGAGTGATGAAGATTCTTCCATTGAAGCTACAACAATCAAGATTTATGAAACATTTGAAGAAGTAATCACAACAATTTCCGATGGTATTCAACTCTCTAATGAACTAAAATCATCAATAATTTCCTTTCGTGCACCTAATGAAGAGAATCAAACTATATTGGATACGAATAGTGAAGTTATTTCATCAAAAAATATTAAAAATCCTTTGGTGGACATAACAGAAAAAATGTCACGACAAAATTCTATTGAAAGATCGGAGATTTCAGTTTTAATCATTGCTTTGATTGGATTTTTATCTGCAGTGATACTTTTGGCCTTATATTCATTAATGAGAAAAAGAACTGCAGCAATAAATACATTTTAAATGACTTTTTATTAGCATCAACATAAATAAACTTTGAATTAATGTCAAATCATTTTTTAATGTAAAATTAATCATTTGAATGTATTACAATTTATAAATAAAATTTGTATCGACTTCTTACTTAATCTAAATGTTTTTCTGACTACACATGCAACCTGTTGTAAATGTAGTTTTCAATTAAGAGAAATGGTGCCTCGAAGGTCAGGTAAAGAAAGGCGCCTAAGAAAATTGTTGCAAATACGTCACCCCAATAAACATGTAACTGAAATAAATAAAAGAATGTTGTCTCAATTTTGTGATTTCTATCTTTAACTATCTACAAATGCTTTTAAGTAATTAGTTTTAATGACTTGAAGAACTTTAAACGTTCTTTCCTTACCATTGGCCAAATCTCGTAAGTTATGACGTCTTTGTGATTTATCATTGCTGTCATCTGATAAATTGGATGAACAAGGTACATGCTAAGTGACATTCTTGCGAGTGGTTGCCAATATGGAAGTGACAAGAACCATCTCACAATCCCCCCAGTCTTCAATTTGTAACATGCAAAGATTATCCAAGAAATTGCAATTGACCATAAAAGTCTTGAAAATGCAATGTAAATGGCGTTGAATGTTAGAGACGATTGATTATTAATTTTTTGTCTAAGTGGTTGTCCGAGCATTAAAATAGAAACTAAAACAGAAATGGACAAAATCCAAAGTGCAGCGTTTTTGTATTTGTTTAGTTTCAGTTTCGTATCACGGTGGATATAAAGAAAATATCCCAAGAGAACTCCAACAATCCACGGCCCCATACGTGAATGAGTTGGAGCATAAATCAACTCTTGAAAAAGTGCGCCTTTTGATGTCATGAACAATCTCAAATCTTTTGTCAAACTAATGAACAGAATGTAAATTGAACTTGAAATTGCTAAAGTTATTGAGGCGAGAGTGAACATTATGCTCGAGTTCTTCAATAAATAGACAAAAAAAGGTGTGATAATGAATAGTTGGAAATCAGCTGACAGATACCATGATTGATTAAGACAAACATTTATTGGGTTGACATAATTTTGTACGTGTAGCAATGCAGACCACCAAAATTCCTTACAACTCTTATCACCATAATCACTCTTCAATGGCCCATTGTCAGTAAATTTTGCTATCGAAACCAAATAAAGAATCAAAACAGCCAAGACAGGCGTGTATCGAAGATATCGATGAAAGATAATTCGCACGATGTTCAATTTCTTCATTTCAAGTAATTTTAAAGTTGAAAGTGTTATAAGCAATGCTCCCATCACAAAAAATGTGTCAACGGCTATGTCATAACCAGACAGAATAACGCTGTAACTATAATTGTAATGTTTAAGAATAGTTTGAGGATTAGTTGTTGGAAAGAATTGTTGAATAGTAAGTCGGTGTCCAAATATAATCCAAAGCAATGAAATCACTCGAAGTCCATTTAAACATTCAATTGATTTCTGGGAAGAATTTTGACTTAAATCAAAAAGTTTTCTGCCATTTGTGTAGACAGAAAATGCAATCAAAAGTTTGTTAGGTTCACGATCGTTGATGATGTTGATGACATCGTAGCTTGTACTTGATATTAGAAGAATAATAAATGTTGATGCGATGAATCTAAATATATTAAAATTTAAAAAAAATATTTCAAAGTTTCATTTTCTCACTTACATTGCAAACATATCAAGATTTGTCAATGGTATTGAATCATTGGTTTGACATTCAATATTAATCACCATAAAATCATCATACAAAAACTGGTTCATAAACTGAACAATTTCATGCACTTGACAGCTTGCGGGTAAACAAATTCCATTAACTAAATTAATTCCTTCAGACCTCACAATATCTTTACTGTAATTGAATGCTTAGGTCAGTTCAATTAGTAAATATCTCATTGAGTGGTCTTATCTACATTATTTGCCAATCAGAAGTATTTATTTTGTCGTCTGTTTCATTTGATGATGTAGGTGTCACAGCCAAAGCTATCAAGCAATATTTCCCTTGAATTACTTCTTCATTGTTAGTGTGTTGATATCTGAAATCTAAGCATTTGGAATAATGTCCCAAGTTGTAAAAGTTTCCTTCGGTATATCCTGAATTAATCTTTCCCCATAAATCAAAAACTGTGTGAAAAAGGAATTAAATAATTTTAATGTTTAAATTTTCTGTCTCAACAAATCGTACGTTTCAAAGCCCACGGTTCTCTTGAGATCAAATCTTTGTAGAATAATCGAAGTTGATGTCTGCAACTTTCATCGACAATGCTTGAATTTCTTGAACTGTTTTCAAAAAGTTCTTCGATTTTTAATTTGCCACAACAACTTTTTGAAATAAAAACAATTAAAATGAAATAAATAGCAAAATATTTCATGTTAAGTAACTGTATAAGACAAAGGCTGAAACAAAACTAAAAGTTGTCAAATATTTTATTTTATCTTTCATGTTTATTGGAAAAGAAGATGGTGTCAACAGAAGGTGTTAACAAAACATTTACTAACAATCTGATATCACATGAAAACACATTTCGGTATTCATAAAGTTCTCTTCTGATTTCATTTATTTTCCAAATATTTTATAGATATAACTTTCAATTTGTGGAACTGGCGTCTCAAACGATAGATAAAGTGCTGCACCCAACATTGTTGAAGCGAATAAATCGCCCCAATAGAGATGGAACTGCAATTAAAAAAAAGGAATTTAAATTCAAAGCTTTAAATTAAATTTGAAAGTTCTTACAAATGACCAAAGCTGAATAGTCGTTGGCTCCATTTGATTCCTAAACCAAAGAATTTGATACACTAAATGAACAAGATACATGCTTAAGGACATTCTTCCTATTGGTTGCCATTGTGGTAATGAAAGAAACCATCGAATAATTCCTCCAGTTTGAAGTTTATGACAAGCAAAAATAATCCAACTAATTGCAAGTGCCCAAAATATCCGATGACATCCACTAAAAACCGCTATGCCCAAACGATTTTCTTCCAACCATTCTAGTGGTCAATGCTAAAATCCATCCAAAGCAATTGAGCTTCTTGCTAATTTTTATCTTTTTATTTCGATAAGTGAACAAAATGTAAGCCAAAGTCATTCCTATCATCCATGGAGCTGCACGTGTATGTGTTGGAACATATCCTGCTTCAAACCAACCAATCGGTTCTACGAAATAGTAAACTAAGAATGCTGCTATACTACTCACTAAGCCAAGAAGAAGTAAACTCCATAAGTACTTCCATCCCCAACGCCATGCCGGATAAATTAAAAAAGGCGTCAGAATGAAAAGTTGAAAATCAACGGACAAATACCACGAGTGACCAACGCACAACTGAGTTGGATTAACGTAGTTTTGAATATGAAGTAGAGTTGACCACCAATAATTCTGACAATTAACAACCTCAATATCTTCACCAAATGGTCCAGTTATAAAAAATCTAGAAAGAGATGCAGTAAAAAGAACTAATGCAGCTAACACTGGAGTGTATCTTAAATATCGATGAAGAATTAATCTTGGTATGTTCAACCTCCTTTTATCCAATGCGTTAAGTATTGATGTTGTTGCAAGTAATGAGCCCATTACGAAGAATGTATCAACAGCAATATTGAATGCTGTATGCAATGCAATATAAAAGTGATCATAATGTTCCAAAAATGTCACCGTATTAGCATTTGGAAACAGTCGTTGATATTCAAAACGATGTCCCAAAATAATCCAAAATAATGACAACGTTCGTAGTCCCAATAAACATTTAATTGCATTTGGTGATTTACTTTCTGTAACATCAAAAAGTTCTTTTCCATTTGTGTTGATTGAAAACGCTATCAAAAGTTTATTTGGCTCTGTTTCCCGTCGTCTCATTACAACGTCGTAAGTTGTGCTTGTTATCAGAAGAAAGCCGAAGATTGAAAACAAAACGCTAGGAATTTTTTTAAAGTAAGATAAAAGCCAATAAAACGAAAATTATCTTACATAGCAAAAATATCGACAGCAGTAAATGGCAATGAGTCATTGGTTCTACAATATGATTCAACACCCGCCAAATTGGCTTGAACCAGGAAAGTGTTTACATAATCCAACGCTTTTTCATTTGAACATGATGCTGGTAAGCAATATCCATTGATGAGTGATACATTCGTTAGTCCAATAATCGAACCGCTAAATAAATTTAATTAAATTCTTACAGTTTGGCATCAATAAGATGTAACTCACATATCCTGCCAATTACTTCGATCTTCAGTAATATTTGTTTGGAACCCGCTCATTACGATTAAACAGTGCTGACCTTGAATAACTCCAGTGTTAGTTTGTTGAGTGTCATGACGAAATCTGACACATTCGGTGAAGTGACCAATGTTGTAAATATTTCCTTGAAGGATTCCAGATTGCATTTTCGACCACAAATCGAAAACTATTAAAAATGATTCATGACAGTTGAAAAGGAAAAGAAATTTGACAACTTTGATACTTTACATTGCACAGCCCACTCCTCACGTGCATCAAAAGCTTCATTGTACAATGTCAATTGTCCATCACAAAGTTCGTCGTTTGTATGTAAAACTCTTCCTAATTGCTTACTTCCATAATGATTCTTTAAAATGTTCTTTTTAATGTAATCTGAAGTTAATCCTTGAACACTTAAAGACCTCAAAAGTATGAAATAAAAGATGAAAACTAAAAAATGTCTCATCTTTCTCAAGTTCAATTTATAACTGAATAAAGTATGAAAAATCAAACTCAATTTATGATAAAGAATAATCTTAACTACAATAGACTTTTGATAAGATTTGCGATAAAAAATTGATTCTTTATTGTTATGAAGTCATTCAGTTTAGAGTGAATAGAGATTAGAATAATTATCTCCAGACTTCAGATCAACCTTGAACTATTAAAAACCACAAATTCAAATCATGAAATTCTTTCCGACTATCTACTTAAATTAAAGAGAAAACATTTAGTGTTCTTAGTTTTACTTTCATCTTACTTTTTCCAGCGATGTTCGTTCTCACATGGTTAATAAGATTAAATTGCTGAAATTAATCCTATTATCTAAAGATGGCAATAATTTTTTTGTATTAGTAAGTAGATAATTAAATGCAGTGTTGAGGAATAAAAAAAAATAAAATAATAAAGGCTCTATAAAAGTTTAACTTTCTTAAGATTTTTATTAGATATTTCAGAAATATTTCACACAATATAATAAATTAAAATAGAAAAAATTACAAAATTCACTTTCTTGAATTGATTAAGTTGATCTTTCGTTTTACTCACTCGTTGCATTTGCATCAACCTTCTTATTATTGCGTAAGTTGTAAAAATACTTTTCAATAAGTTGAAAGGGTCGTTCAAATGAAAGATACAATACTACACCGCCCATAAATGAACCTAAAATATCGCCATTGACATTTTGACGCTGAAAGATTTTATTATTATTAAGCAACTAAGAAAACTTTCATCAGACACTTACTATGAACGGTTCCTCCAAAGTCACAACATCCTTGCTATTGAACAACAACGTGGCTTGATATAAAGTATGATATAAGAAAATGCTTAGTGACATTCTTGCAATCGGTTGCCATTGACGTAAAGAAAGAAGCCACCGAATTATTCCTCCTGTTTTCAAAATTTGACATGCAAAAATAATCCAAGCTAAGGCAATTGCCCAAGCTAAACGGCGGAATGCAAGCAACGAAGCGTCGACTACTTTACTATTTATTGGAATAACTCCTGCAATCAATATCGCCGTTATAGTTAAAAGTGCTGCAAACCAACCGATGATGTTAGTCCATCTTCCAAACTTCAAATTTTTCCCACGATATCGATGGATTATGAAGCCTAAGATGATTCCAACCATCCATGGCCCCATACGCGCATGAGTTGGTAGATAAACTGCAATAAAGTCCAAACCTGGGTCGCGTGTTACAAAAAACATTCCGAAAATGTAAGCACAACAGAAAATTGCAAGAAGAACAGGAATCCATAGATGCTTCCAACCCCATCGCCAAGCTGGGTAAATAATGGCTGGGGGCAATAAGTAGAGTTGAAAATCAGCTGAAAGATACCAGGATATGCCAAGACAAAGCTGATGTCCATTCACGTAGTTCTGAATGTGGAGTAATGTTGACCACCAATAATTCTGACATGCAACTATACTATCGTCATTACTGAATGGACCTTCGAATTGAAACTTCCAAATGGAAAGGACATACAAGAGTAATGCAGTCACGCATGGCGTATATCTTATGTATCTGTGTAAAATCATTCGACGAGCACTAAACTTTTGACAATCAAATGCTGATAAACAAGACATTGTAGCGAGAAGAGCTCCCATGACGAAAAATGTATCAACAGCTAAATTGAATGAAGTGAAAATTGTTACTGACATATCTGATTCTCGTATAAGTTGTGGAAAGTTCGAAATGGGAAATTGCATTTGAAAAAATACTCGATGTCCGAAAATGATCCATAGAAGAGAGAAAAATCTAATTCCTGACAACGATTTCATGTTATCTTCAGATGTGTTGAAAAGTTGTTTGCCATTTGTGTAAATTGAAAATGCTGCCAAAAGTGCATTCGGATCTTGATTTCTTTTTCTTTTGAGAACGTCATAGATTGTGCTTGCAATTAAAATAACTCCGTAAAAATTAAAAAATGATCTGAAATGACACAACGGATAAGAATTTCGTATCACATTTTACACTTCACAGATATTCACTTGGCAAACACATCTAATGATGTGGTAGGTTTGGGATCATTGGTCTGACATTGAGCTTTTGTAGCATTTAAATTTGTTGTTGGTAAAAATTCATTTAGAAATTGAACAACCTTTTTTTCCGAACATGACGCAGGCAAGCAAAATCCAGTGATGATTGAAAGATTTTGCTTTCCAACAAAATCTCCACTACAAAATAAAATATTGATTTAATCTTTTTAATTATGCATATGAACTTGAATATAAAAAAAATCATTTACATTTCCCGCCAATCAAAAACACTCGAGCTGTTTTTATGGTACGAAGAATTCAATGCTTTAAAGCCAACAAGACAGTATTGACCTTGAATAATTCCATTATTTGGTTCTGTTCTATGACGGAATTCTATGCATTCGGTGAATGATCCAACATTGACAACATTTCTTTCGAATAAACCTGATTGAAATTTTCCCCACGAGTCAAATACTACAATAGTTAAATGCTCAATTAGATAATTGAATAGAATAAAGAGAATATCTCTTACATTTTAGTGACCAAATTTCACGTGATGACAAAGCATCGGTGAATAAATTAAGTTGTTCTTCACATTGCGTGTCATTAGCTTTTGATTCTTTACCAAACTTGTTATTGGTATCTAAATTGTTGAGTTGCCAATTTCCATAAGCTGTACTGCTAATCGTTAGAATAATAAAAGTTAAAATAAAATTTATTTGAATCATCCTCAGAGAGCGATTCACAGTTAACTGATGATATGATTCTGAATTCTTCCGAAAAATTAATGCTTTAGTCTCATTTTTGCGCGCTTTTAATTGGTGTCAGTCATTCAGTCATGCGATTAAATTTTAATGCTCACGGAGAATGTTCAAGTGTAAAACAAACTTTATAAACAGAGTAGGGTAGTTGGCTAGTAGTGCACCACCTCGAAATCGTCGTTAGTAGTGCACCACTACTTTCGAACTTAATTTTCTCAGCTATTTTTTATTATTTATGGCTTAGAACTTTGTAGAGAGGTAGAGCATAGTCCAAAATAGCTTTCTACAAAGTTTTAAGCCA